TTGAGTGATTGATTGTTTTTGATCATCTCTGTCAGTGCATCAATACTTTCATCATTGATATCAGTGTTCGCACTGAGATTCAAAACTTCTAGAACTGTATTTCTGTGATTAAGGACATCAGCTAATATTTTCACACCACTATTGCCTATCCGATTTTCGCTCAGGAATAATTGAATCAATTTCATGTTTGTTTCGAGCGCTTCTGCTAGATATTTTACACCTTCATGCGAAATGTCATTCGCGGACAGATCAAGGCGTTTCAGAGCTGAGCTGTTGATTACCGACGCTAAATTCCGAACACCCACATCCAATATACTATTGTACGAAATATTCAATTCTTCCAACCATTGATTGTTACGGATTGCATTCGACAGAATTGACACGCCTTGCTGTGTGATTCCAGTGCTCATTAAAATGAGTATCTTGCATTGCTTATTGATAATTCCTTGATCACTAACTATGACTATGTCGTGATCGTTCAATTGTTGCTCGCTCAAGTTCAACTTTCCCGATTGATATTTTTGAATGGCTTGTTCGAGCGTCGCATTATGGTAAGAAGAAAAACTATGTACTTTCGTTGGTAATATGGGTGGTAACTGTTTTGCCAATGTAGATGTAATACTTTTGTTTACAGGCGCAGGGAGCGAGTATTGTGAGTCGATTTCCTGAATTTGAATTATATTCAAATTATTGCCTACATCTACAGTCGCGATAACTTTGAAGTGACAACCAGGAAGCAATAAAGTTTCATTTTCTTTTTTGATCATTGAATGTTTACGAATATCCTTTCCTGTGCAAGATTGAATGGTGAATATTGTTCGACTGCCAGTTTTTCCCAGAAATATGTCCGACTGAAGAACATCAACAGACATTGTGCAAGAAGTGAATGTCCACCAGAAAAATGTTTTCTCTTTAGGATAATCGTCTATCACATTTGCCTTTATTCCACGATAAAGAGATTGTCGTTCGGATGGTAATTTTGAAAGTGCGGTGATAACTAACTTTAGATACAAGAACCATGATATCAAACTGGCTTGATCTTCTTTACGTAGTGTAGAATTGAGAATGAAATAAAACGATTCTTCTTCTGTGTTCCAGGGTAGTGTATAGAGCATAATCGAAGCTGATTCGTCTGGAGATAGATTATCCGATGGATTTTTACAGTTACACTTCACTGTGTACACCATCTGCTGAACCCTAGGTACGATTGACTCCAGAGGTTCGACAGCCTTTTCAAGGGATACCAGTGGAGCTTTTTCGTAGCCTTGGATCGGCGATATACTTGAAAAAGATTTCCACAATGTGTCACAGATGCGAAATGCATACCCTTTCTCCTTAGATTCGCTCATTTTTCAAAAAGTCATATACAATCTAGAAAAAATGTTGACTACAGTTCCTTGATCATCAGAATAAGGTCGGCAAAACATCGTCACAAGTATTGCAAGAGACTACTAATACACTTAAGGGAACATACGTGTATCAAAGCATGATTTTCTCTTTTGTTTCTAGTACACTTACGCTGGTTCCACGGTTGATACTATGTAGATGCGATGAAAAATGACAGATCAGTTTTGATTAAATATCTCCGTAATAGTAACAGCTGTTGATCTACAGTTTTTTATATTCGATAATCCTTGATGGAAAAAGATCTCCTTTTTCGAACGAAAAATTTCCAAGAAGTTTCCAGAAGTTACGATCGTTTCTTTCGAAAAAGATTGAAATTATGGCACGTCAGAAAGTGCAATTTTTACTAGTACTCGGTGTAGATAATACGCCACACTGGACGAGTTCACGGAAAAAAATTTATCCCAAATTACTTTTAACACCTTCATTTGTATAGATTATTACTTCGAATCTTGACGCATGATCCGGTCATTTTAGTCCATTTAATCCCTTTACTACTTTCAGAAGAAGTAGAAGAGTACCCTTGCCTTTCGGCTACCATTCAGTATAGAATGCTGTCCAAGGACAGTTTCGAAGGCCGATATTTTTCCTACAACTATTACTAGTTACAGCTCTGGGCAGATGGACCGCCTGGCGCAAAGTTCCTCCCGCTTAATTGCTGAAGTTTCCTGTTCATGCTGGCTAACCACATACTAACTACAAGGGCTTTTTGTGTATGTCAACAACGTAGTCAGTGTATGCTATCGGATGTGTGGTCCAAGACAAACAGCCGTTAGTGACTTGTCCAAGGTCATTCTATGTCTGATGACGCCGAAGTTCGCACACAATATTTTGAGACATGTGTCGAACATCTTAAGCATTCAGCCGCAGCGGCTCTTGCTACTTGCAGCGCATTTGCTGCTCTTACCAACACTCGTGTCATCCCTGCCAGCCTTACCTGCGCATTCTTAATCCTGAAGACAAAGAAAGGGAATTCAAAGAAGGATGAATTGCGATGACTGATGTCAAAAATTTAAACTGGGATGCATTTTCTTTGTCGTGATATTATGATATTCGTCGGTGTTTAGTTCCCCACTAGTCTTATCTACTATCTTGTGCAAAAAGAAAGATAGCGCGAATAAAAGTAAATATCATCTCATTCTTTAATATCTACTTCTTAAAAAGAACACGCTTTGGCAAAAAAATAAAGTTTTGAGAAGGAAGAGATAGCAAACTGTGATTTTCAATATTTGATCGAGCAAAATAAAGTATGTACTTCTACAGAAAATTCACCAATGTCATAAAAATTGCATGTTTTCTCAATATTTTGTATGTTTTTAAATGAGGACAAGAGCTTAGCGAAAAATTCCTCGTAACCACTACCTCTAGAAGGCGTAGGAACAAGGCGATTAGTTTCATGTTTGAAAAGAATGGTAAAGTATCATCTTTTTAGCAAGCAAAACTTCCTGAAACTTGTTTTGAAATTTTAACCAAATGTGGTCTTAATGGAAAGCTTGGATATTCACTGAAAATATTCGACATTATTCGAAATAGAAGAAGTATAATATTTCGGCCCAAGGGTATTTCACTCTAGCCCTCAATTCATTTTTAACTTTCGGCTCGAATCTAAGTTTATCTTCTTAACTTGAATGGAAAATCGTACCTCTACATATAGTTTTGCACTGTTTTTCACTATCAATGAACGGAAGGACATTATGGTCCGCAGTACGACATAGTATGGCTTGATATATCATACTGTCCAACTAAATGCCGAAGTGCTGGACAGAACGACTCATCGCTTGGCACTATGGAATTTTGCTCAGCGCTACGGCATATCGTTGAGCAGTATGACATTTTAAAAGTTCTTCACCTATATCAGCGAAGAAATCTGAGCAGCATTCGCACCGGCTTCTAGATTGACCAGAGATTGCGATGCATGTTTACCACTGAATAGCCTCTGCATGATTTTCGCTCCGAACCGAAAGTCTCAGTCGGAAAATCCTTCGGACGACATCATGTAAACCGACATGCATACTATTGACATCTTCCAAATCATATATATTATCCATTCCAAAGTAGAAAAGGGGTGACCATTTTTTAAAATAATTTTTGATAGGTACTCAATACATGAAAACAGTTTGTTGCGTCCTGAAGCTCAGGGATGTGTTTATCCAAGCGTAAATCCTATCGATTTTCACTCTTTCTCTTTAGCAACTTTCGAATGACTGAATGATGGTAGAAAAAGTTGAAATCGAATCACGATAGTACCGTTAGATGCTCTGTTTAAAAATATGCAGACGAGTGGTCAATCTAGTTTTTCGCACCGGCCTTTCTAGTACTAATAGAACTTCCAAGAAGCAGGATGATTGGAGAAACTGATTCTTTTTTTTCGCAAATTCTTCGATCGGAAGCATCTTTTTCTATAGGCTGTGAATCATGGCGAATTTAGTGCGCGTGTTTTTAACCTTCTTACAACAGTCTTTTTGTACCAATTTGCTTAGTGGGCTCCATTTCGACCAGATAATTTACCCTGGTTTCTTGATTTCACATTTGCTTCTACCTGTTTTGTATCAGATATAATCGTTGAATGTCTAATCTTGGGCATCTGTTGAATGTAGGCAACAACTGTGGTAGACTCCGCTGATACGATCCATCTCATAGATAAAGCTCGAACATCATTGATAAGAAAACTGATGTTTTTATGATTTTTTCACTGAGATTACACACTCGTTGATGGTATCTGATACAAAACAGATGGAAACAACATTCGAATCTAAGGAATAGAGCAGATCATCTGATCACAATGGATTGCAATCAGCAGGCTCGTCAGAAGTATCCGATTTCCATGAAATCTGAGCTCAGGCACTCATCCAAACTCTATAATTCTATAATTTGTTTACTACGAAGTACCTACAACCAAAGATTGCCTTAAAGAATCAAAAGAATCGACCGTGTCCAAAGAACTCACTGAAGTCAAAGTAACCTAAACATTCGTGGAACTTTTGTGTCTCACAAAACCAAAGGAATCTTGAGGGTGAGATCAAATCGGAAAGAATGTCATACAATTTACTACTTATGCCAATCAACGATAATCGTTCGCTTTTGCAGCAGCTATCGAGACTTATTTTATCTGAATTTATTGAGACTTCAATAAGTCTCTGAGTACTTTGAGATAAATCCCTTATGAAATTTCGATACATACAGGGTGAAAGTGTTAGTATAAGGGTAAGGGTGAGCATGAAGATGTGGGTGTGGGTAGGCATGAGGGTGTGAGTATGAGTGTGGGTAAGGGTGATAGTGAGGATGAGAGTGTTGATGTGCTGAAATATAATCATAGTTAATATGTCCTCAAAAACTAAATAAATCTCGCAAAAATGAAAACTGGTAGCTCCACACTATTTCGATGATTTCAGAATTTCAGATTTCACTGAATTCGGACAGGACTCATGTTTCTCGCGTACTTATGCAAAGCTAATAAAAAAATGATCACCCTTTTTATTTTTTGAAATGGATAATAATTGATTTTGATTCGTAAGCAGAAGTAAAAAATTTCTCTAAGTTAGTCACACCCTTACTTTGAATATTCAAAATTTGCTCCAGATCCATAAGTAGTTGACATGTCCAAGGCAACAAAAGCTTTGATTAAAATCGTCGAGAAATCTGCCAGCGATCAAAACTCCTGGGAACAGGCACAACAACTTATTCGTCAGGGAGCAGATATCAAAGCTTCAACAAGTAATGGTCCGATGATTCATGCTGTAATTGCTGAAGAAAAACGTCAGCGACAAACAATGCCATGGAAAGCCGACAACTGTTTACGTTTGATTCAAGTTCTGGAAAAGACTGCTTCCGATCAACTGAGTGCACAAGTGCGTTCAGAAAATGGTGGTGATCTTCAAGAGATGCGACTGCTGGTAGGCTTGAAAGCGAGCTGCTATCAGTCAGATATATATGGTTCATTGGGTTTGTTGGGATCAATAGTAGATCAAAATAAGGTTCCCATCCGATTAGATGTTGTGAGATTTCTTATAGAGAGTGACTCAAATGCAAAAATGACTTTGACTGCCATCAACGATCAGGAAAAAACCTGTCTGTCTCTCGCGAAAACCAATCCGAAGTGTCCAAAGGATGTGATTAATTATATGCAACAACAGTTCGATGAGATTGTCAATCAGATTCCGTTTTCACAGCCACAGATCAATCCAAACCAAGTATTTATATGGACTCGTTTCGGTGCAAACATTGAAGCGACTGACAAGAATGGTAATACCATTCTTTCGAACGCCGTGAGTGCCAATAATTTGGAACTTGTTCGCGCTCTTGTCTCAGCCGGCAGTGATACTACGCATAAAAACAATGATGGTCTCACTCCTTTACAAATCGCCAAAAAAGCTGTACCGAGAAACCCTCCATTGATCGCTTTCCTGGAAGGTCAACGCGTGACTGTTGAATTAGGAAAACTGATTGTAACAAAAAAATCAGCATTAACTACTGAAGAAGTACAACGTCTGCTCGAAAATGGAGCGAATATTAATGCGTCCATGATCAATGGTGATTCACCACTTCATCTATTGATAGCTAGCCAAGGAACAACAGATATGGTTAAAACTTTCATTAATGATTTCAATGCTGATTTATCAGTAATAAATAGTAAAGGATATCGACCGATTGAAGCATGCATTTTGTTTGACAAGCAGCCATATCCTTATCTAAAAACAATATTGACGCTGCCGAAAATGACCGCAGACAAATTTCATAATCCGAAGTTAAACAAAACTCTTCTACAGTTCGCTATCGAACAGAAGTGCTCTGATGCAGCAAAACAGATACAAGATGAACTTAATCTTCGTTTGTGGAATTGCATAGCACGTGCCAACACCAATGATGATAACAGCAAAACTATTGTAGATACAGTCAACCAGCTGATTACTTGCGGTGCTCAGATTAATCATTTACATACTGACAAAGAATATGATCAGTGGACAGTCCTGCATTTAGTAACTAAAGCAACTACGGTAAGAATGCTCCGATACATGATCAAACAGTTGCAAGCTGACTACACGTTACCAAACAGTAATGGTGACTATCCGATTTCTATTGCGGCTCAGTTTGGGCATTTACCCATGGTTGAATATCTGCATGGCCTATCAAAGTCAAGCTTGAACGTTCGTAATAAGGAAATGCAGACGCCATTACATTTAGCGACAAAAAATAATCATTTATTGGTTGTTAGATATCTCGTCAAATGGGGTGCTGATGATCAAGCTCAGAATTTATCGAAAAACACGCCGCTGGACATCGCACATCAGAACGTTCCCAAGAACAAAGAAGAAGAGATTAATAATAAAAAAATTATTCAGTTTCTCACCCAGTTAGTTTTTCCTCCTGTGAATTATAAAGCCGAAAGTCCAGCAACTCGAAAGAAGCCTACATATGATCTTGACACATGTGATCTAGCGATGCCAGTGGCCTTGAAACCCATTCGTATGAGTACAGATGACGATGATGCAGCGATAGGTAAAAAAAGTAAACATTTATTTTCCATGAGTCCCAATAACAATTTGCATGATGCTGCAAGAAATGGAGATCTACTGGCAGCTAAAAAGGCTATTGGTGAAGGAGCAGACATTCGCTATCGGAAAGGAAATCACACTCCGTTCGAGGTAGCGCTCATGTCTCGAAATGAATATACAACGAAATTGAATTCTAGAACGCTCACCGTAATAGAGGTGACACGTCTTCAAGCGATGATAGCCGGTTGTCAACAAATTGGCGAGATGATTCGACAGATCTCACACACAAAGATAGTCGAAGCTATCCAAAAATCTGATGCAGGTCTTGTCATGACCTATCATCTAGCAGGAGCACCAATTACTACTGATCTGCTGTACAGAGCTTGCAACGCATCAGACACTGTTGAAATAGTAGATTATCTCATGAACCAAAGTATCGAAATCCATCAAACTATCATCAATGATGTATCGCCTAATGCTCCTTATCGTATTGCAAAAACAAAAAAATTCAACCAAGTTGCTGCGTACTTAAAATATCGGTTGACACTTGAATGCATAAAGGCCATCAAAGAAAATAATCTGGAGCTGGTCAAGAAGTTAGTCAATGCTGGAGCGAGTGTCGAGTCAAACAATACGAGTAATTTAAAGGAAGCGATTCAGTGTCAAAATCCTGAATTAATTCAATTTCTCTGTGAGAAGGGGGCCAAAATGCCATCGAATTGGCTCTCTGCAAAAACTATTGTACTCGATTCAACTATGTCTCAACAGTTGAAACCCGAGATTAAATCGATCATCGATCAGTGCCTAATCGAAAGACGACTACGTTTTGCAGCTGCCAATGGTGATCTCAATGAAGTGATTCAATGTCAACGTCTTGGTGTTAACATCAATGCAGCGAATTGTCATGGTTCAACAGCACTGTTGTGTACAATTGAGCATGGGAATTACTTTCAAATTGTTCATGCGCTGGTTTCACGCGGTGCATCGATGCTGCACTCCAACGAAAATGTACCAATGTCACTGATCGATCTTGCAAGTCAACAAAATTACAACCAGATTTCTACTTACCTCTCGAAAGAGCTTAATACACAATTTTTGTCCGCAATTCTCAATAATGATCGCCAGAGCGCGGAAAAATTCGCACAGTTAGGTGCTGATTTCAATTACAGAGATGAACAACAACGTACACCATTACATTATGCTGTGCAGTATCATGGTATTGATCTTGCAGCTTGGTTATGCGAATGTGGTAGTGTACCGACTATCTGCGATATTAATGGTGATTATCCAATAATGCAAGCTGCGGAAAAAGGTAGTATGAGTGGATGTTTTCTTATGCTCTTCAATATAGAGCGCAGGACGAGAGTCGGAATCCGTTTTATCAGCTACGACTGTAGATTGAGAAATATCCAATGTCTTCCTATCTGAAAGCTTGAACAGAGATTGAAAGCACCCATAACAAAAGTCTCTAATTCCACTCGGAGTTGTCAGTTGAAATATCATTTTTCTAGATAAATGCCTTTAACTCTACGAAGAATATTCTATTTTCCCATCGATAGAACACATCGCCTTGCGTTATCGAGGTCATAAAAAGTATTTTATGGTTTACTTTATAGGTGACTATGCTGTGGTAGAACTTTTTGTCACAAAATATCCGGCTACGAAGAAGCAAATGAACAAGAGTAGTATGACAGCTTTGCAAATCGCACAAAAGTTGAAGTTTAATCGCATTGTTCAATTGATTGAAGCAGGAAGCGGAGTCCCGGAATACGAAAAAGATCATGAAGTTAAAGCTAATAGACCAAATCATGATGAAGAAACACTAATACAAGCAGCACGGAATGGCCATATCAAAATCATTCGAGAATTCATTGCTCAACGTTATGAGTCCAAGGATGAGAAGAAAAAGTTATGCCAGAAATTAATTGAAGCAGCAAAAAAAACTACGCAATATGAAATTCTCGATGCTCTCGAGCCCTATTACAAAACTGAATTAAGAACTGAACTAGCTTCTGATATGCACGCAGGCAGTAACATCGTATTGAGTGAACGTTATAAGAAAATTCTGCTTGGAGTTCTTGGATCTTTGAACACTTTGATTGCCAAGAGCTCAGTTCTGCTTGATCCTGCGGATCCCAATACTTATACACAATTTTTCGTCGGTTTGACTGAGAATGTAGCGAAACATTCAAAGGAATTAGAGCAAGTCAAGACCGAAGAAGATGTGAAGAAACTCATTCAAAAGGATGAAGTTGACACAAATGAACAATTAACCAAAATTCAAGAACAGTTAGAAGAATTATCAGAGAGTAGAGATGCATTACAAGCTCGACTTCTAGATACGGACGAACGGCTCTTCAAAGAGCAAAAGCTTACTGCATCACAACGAAAAGAATTCATGAAAGAGAAAGAACTTCATGCGCAACAGTTAGCTACTTTTGAATGCTCAATATTTTTATTTCAACGACAACAAGAAGCTACTTTGAATAGACAAAAAGCTATTGGTTATCTTAAAAGCAACATGAATTTAATGATGTTCTACCGAACCATAGAAAACCGTTTAGAAGCTTTATTTCATAGCTGCCTAGCAGCACAAGGAGGTTACGTAAAAGTCGAAGCCACAACAAAGTTTGGCAAGGCGGGAAAAGTATTGAATATGCTACCAACGAATATTCCAATAAGTAAGTGAGACTAATTATGAGATCAATATCTGTTAATCTCATTTATAATAATTACTAATATTGATTGTATCCATTCTTCTCGATGATAAATAGAATCTTTGTATCTAGATCCATCAACAATAAAAAATAGACTAGTAAAAACGTTGTTTTTCTTCTAGTAAATCTGAAGACATCAATCATCAAATCAGTGCTCAGTCCTATACTATCAAAACTCGACGAAAAGCAACAGAAAAAAGAATGGCATAACATATCAACTTTGGGAAATATCGAAGAGTTGAAACGTATTGCATCGGAAACTGCCGGTCTGGTCACACTCTATTACAATGAACAAATACAATCGATTGATCCATCGCAAAAAATTAAGGGTAGTAATGTCTTCAATGACAAGCTACATTGGCTCAAACAAATATACGATGTTCGTCCTGAAGCTTCTGAAGAAATGGCGGTCGTTATGGTTGCTGAATATGTTACCGCTTGGATAATTGATGGTTTAAAGGTAGGCACAGAAATTATTTCCACCGAACCTCTACCACCACAGCTGTGGTTACATGTTGCGAAGAAAGATCCTACTGATCTAGAAAAAGTCGATAAAGTAACAGACATTATCGGACTTTCGGCCGGACAACAAAAGATTCCTGTCAAAATCAGAAATAGCTTCGACAAAGAAATCGCCATAAAAGTACAATTGCGGTATCTGATCGGTTGTGTTTCTGTTATCGGCAACGATGGCAGTGTGTATCAATATCCAGTACCGAAAAATACCACTGATAATGAACTGATGGACTTGGAAAATTTTGGCTATGTTTTTGTCACACCATTTTCATTTGATCAGAAAGCATTGCAGTTGATTGTCGAGGGAAGAAAATTGCATCTTGCGAAACGGGATGAGTATAGTAAGATTCTAACAAGGTTCGAAGACATTATTCAGCATGCACAAACATTCATGGGTCATCATGAACACGATACTAGTAACTCATTGATTACACGAGAAACAGCAAATAAAGTAGCTGATGTACTTCGTGAGCAAAACATTTTTGTTGATTCTAATGCTGTCAGAGATCAACTGAGAGCAGCACAAGAAAAAATCGAACTAAGTGTCGATGTTTTGCGTGAACAAATAGAAGAAAAAGCATCCTACTATCAACTATCGATCGATGCTGCTCATGAGAAACTTACAGAAGAATCGCAGGCAAATCGAGAAGCAATGAAAAAGGATAACGAAATGCGATACGATAAAGCATTGAAAAAATTAAATGAGCGATCGGAAGAGATTGCGATAAATTTAGAGAAGCTCATCGAAAAACGTATGAACGATATTGAACAACAAATGCGACAAGAAGTACAAAAAATCCTGGCCATCGCTGAGACAGCAAAAGCTCAGTCTCTAACAGCAATGACACAAGCACGCGAAGCAAGTGAGACAAGCCATCAAGCTGCCGAGAATTCAGCAAAAGCTGCCAACTCAGCAGAAAATCTTGTTAAATGGGCTCAACAACGTAACGAAGAGTTCCAACTTAGTGTGAAGAATTGTGAGGAAACGGCTAAGCAAACCGCCTTTGCACAGAAGCAATTCTGCGAACAAGCAGTCGCGGATATACGCACAAAGGCCGAACGTGCTATGGAGCGATCACAAGAAGCGGTCAGTAAATCAGCTGCAGATAGCAAAGAATCAGCAAGAATTGCTCGAGAGTCGCAATCCACCGCTCAAGGTGTCGAAAAAATGATGAAAAATCAACTGGAAGTTCACAAGGCTGAAATCAAGAAAGTGATCGCAGAAGCCAAAGAAGTACAGCACCAAAGTGAAAGAACTGCAACCGAAGCTAAAGAAGCGCAAAAGCAGGCTGTACGAGCAGCAGATGCAACGACTACAATAGTGGAGAAGGTGAATGCAATGCACGGAAAAGTGGAGAAAGCTCTTCAACAAATGGAGAAGTTAAAAGACAAGCTCCCTAATTCATAAGGTAGTGGTCCCAGCATGGCAGCAAGCGAAGACTCTTTTTTTAGTTTTAATCTGTCGAATCAAATAATCTTCAATTAAACTGTTCTATCATGTTTTTTTAATAGTTCTTACCATAAATAATAGAGAAAAAAACAAATCAACTCATGAAGAATAAGAGAAAGGATATGGGAAGCACGAAACGTGCTTTTAATGGAAGCAATCATCAGATTAGCGATGTCGTATAAACATCACACTAAAAATACCGTCAATGCATTAGCATTAGTAGCAGTATGATTAATTGATGCTTCCATATGAGCATTTTTTCATACTAACGCATATGCGCAGTGGCCATTCTAGAATGCTACCTTCACATATTACCGTTCACTTTTTGACCGCTACCTACAGTTATCTATAGTAAATTCCCAAGGATCTCCCTCGGGGTACCCCTTATAGATTTTCAAGAGCTATGTGAAGGTGCTCCAGTTAACTTTTCAATGGCTACCTGGGTCTGCTCTCCCTAATTTTTCAAGAGCTACTTAGAACTACCCACAGTGAATTTTCAAGGGCAATCTCCGCTTATGCTTTAGGTGCCGGTGTGGATGTCGGTGTGGATATGAGTGTGGGTGTGTGGGTGTGTGGGTGTGGGTGTGAATGTGGGTGTGAGTGTGGGTGTGAGTGTGAGTGTGGGTGTGAGTGTGGGTGTGAGTGTGGGTGTGAGTGTGGGTGTTGGTGTGGGTGTGGGTGTGGGTGTGGGTGTGAGTGTGGGTGTGGGTGTGGGTGTGGGTACGGGTGTGGGTGTGGGTGTGAGTGTGGATGTTCCAAGATTGATACCCACATCCAATATTCACACCCACACCCACACCCACACCCACACCCACACCCACACCCACACCCACACCCACACCCACACCCACACCCACACCCACACCCACACCCACACCCACACCCACACCCACACCCACACCC